CAAGCTAGCGAATTTTTACTTAGCGAATATTTTGATATAGAGAAAATTTTTTATATGACGAATATGTGTTCAAACATTCTTCTGATATCCAAATATTTCACATATTGAAGGTGCTTTAACTGTATAAAATTATTGTATATCATTCCTATCAGAGCGCTACTATACCCTCGTCATTATATTAAAACCGCAGAGTATGACTATTACATATTTTTGAGCCATGAAAACTTGAAAACTAAAAAATTTAAGTTATTAGTATATTGATATAGTATTTTGTAGTGGCATAATCAAATTTGCATGAACATTTTAGTCATATAAATATTATAATAAATTGCACAATTGGACAAATTTACATCATTTATCAATTCATAGCGACAATTAATATTATATATAATTCCTAATAATTTAATTTTTTGACCAGCTATATTTAGGTAATAAATTCGGAATAAATTGCATATACTAGTGACCATTGCGGCGGATTGGTGGAGTTTGACCTTTTTAAATACCCTAAATTTATAAACGTAAGTCCTTATTTAATATTTCAATTTCTATAAAGATAGTTAAATTTTGTGACTTAAATAAAGGTCAAATTCCGCAAATCCTCCGCAATGGTCACTAGTATATGCAATTTATTCCGAATTTATTACCTAAATATAGCTGGTCAAAAAATTAAATATTAATTAGAAATCACACATCACACATTTATAAAGTTTAAATGCATTACTTACCATTAGTTTGGTGCTATAATGTTGTTTTAAAACTCCAAAAGATTTTTCACAATTCAAGTTATCCAAGTCGATTTCACCAGAATTTTCAAAATCAGAACCTGTAAAAGTTATTTTGCACGGATATTCAGGTGTTGCCGACTTCTTCATAGTCGGGATTAGAAGGGTAGTCAGGAGAAATTGTGAAAGGAAATTAACCTTTTGTTAAGAAAAGATATGAATTAATATCAGTGAAAATTTTAACAAATGAAGAAACGAACCATATCCAAATTTACCTGGAGTTGTTGTTCGAAATTATCTTTTGTCTTCTCAAAGCTAAAATTAAAAATACCTATTTTGCAGTTTACACTTAAAAATTTTAAAGAAATAATAGAATGTAGCCTTATTTACAAAGCACGAGAATACACACCAGCATTATTCCATAAATAGTGCAATTCACCAACTTCCGTGATAAATTTATTGGCGAAAGTCTTTACGCTACGTAAATTTGCAAAATCTATATCCCATAATTCAATACATTCGACCTTTCCATCTTGAGAATTTTGAATATATTCTATGAGCTTTTTGCCTTTTTCACGGTTGCGAATTGGTAGGATTAGACGTTTTGGATTATATGAAGAGATTATGCGAGCCAGACTTTTACCAATTCCTGTGAAAATAATAATAATAATAATTGTAAAGAACTAGTATGAATGTAACTGTTGGAAAATAATATTATTATAATAATTGTAGAAAGAAAGACCAACCATCTGTAGAACCAGTAATTATAACAACTTTATTTGATAAGTCATAGGATTTAATGGTAGATTGATTTGCTCCCATTTTGATTCGAATATAAGTTCTATTTAAGAGTTGTTATATATATAATACTAACGGAAATAGTCATATACACTATCTTGGAGTAAGAAATATTTAAGAATTAGAGGGCTAACCTATTGATGCTGTGTTAGCTGAATGTCATTATAAAATCATGTACGACTATTATTTTCATTGATTTGCAGCAACTTTTTACTTTAAATATCACAAAATAATCGATCGGGCTTATAATTACCCGGTTACACATTTCAAAAACTTATATATTTTTTTTATACGTATAATCATAACGATAATACGTACAACAAAATACAGAAATATTATAAAAATTATTTTAGTACACTTTTGTCATAATTATAACAGACCCAGTTAAAGCGGATTTCTTGAATATTTTAAAATTATTATACAATATATGAGTGTTGTCATAGATTACTATGATTATCATAATAATCTATTTTTAGAGTTGTGGGTTTTCTTTTGACAACACTCAAATGCTAAAATGGAAATTTATTACAATAGATGGAATTCATTATAACGAGGATAGAACGTGATATTCTAAAGACTCATAAGGATCTCGTTATCATCTTATTAGCTGATAGACATGTTTAGCAAACAATGTTAAAAAATTTTTTGTTAAATAATTATGAAAGCATTAATTAAATCTCTCTAAGTGCAATTTGTAAAGACTAAACTTTTAACAATATATAGTATATTTAAAGAATAATATAGAAAATTTCATTTGTAAAAATTAGATATTATTTGGATATATTTAAGCTAAGGTTTCAATTTTATATTTGAAAAATACTAAACAATTTTTGACTAATATAGATTAATAGTAATTAGCAAATTATAATTAAAATATAGCATTTCTGTCAATTAGGCCACACAAATTTAATTAATTGATTTTCATATCACGAACTGGTGCCAAGTGACACGGCCGCACGGATTTTT